CCCCCCCCAAAAAAAAAGAGAGTAAGAGGTACAAAAAAGAAACAATATCACAGAACAAAGACTGTGAGACAAGGGAGGAAAACCAGCTATACAGAGTTAGGAGCCACTGTCTGACACGTTTTGCACAGGGAAAGGAAACACTTCTTCATTGGAAGAGGAAGAAACAGTTATCACACAAAGCTGCAGAAGAATTCACTCAGGTTATGAGCAAAATGCAACAGCCAAGAACTGAGGACGTGGGTTCACTGCTACTTGAAGCATTAAGCAATAAAGCTGCCACCTTCATTCTGGAATAGCCACCTAATTTCCCTCACAGAGGAGGAAAACAAACTGTTTTCAGAATCCAGTTATGCACAGCATTACCATGCATACCACTGTTTCCCACCTCCCAAAAAATTGTTTTCCAAAACAAAAAGCCACAAGCAAGTTTCAGACAAAATATATATATTTAAAAAAATCTTTACAATAAGTCAGGAAACATAGGAGCTCGCATACAGTTTATTATAATAACTCAGTTCTCAGCTCCCTACAGTTCAGATAACCCTGGTGACAGTGTTTACAACTTCTAATTTTTGCTTTCATAACTTTAAAGCAAACAATACATTTGAGTGTATTTTACTCTGTGCAAATAAGACAACTTTTGGAATCCTTCAGAAGAAATATCCAAGATTCTGTTTGCTGAGGTCCTTTGTTTCTCAAAGATGATTTATGAGAGTCTTTGTTTTAAGATAAAGTGCTCCTGTCCAGCAGAACCCAAAGGCCTTCAAGAGTTCAGAGAGTAAGTTTAGCTCAGGTTAGAAAATAATTGGTCATACAAATTCCAGCTTTCCATGTCCGCTGTACATTCCCCAGTGGACTAGCGAAAGAATTTTATCATTGCTGAGGTCTGAATGTCTCATTTTATCACAGGTCATGCAGCAGTTCTCGTGACCAGTCACAGGCACCATGCATTCCAAGTCCAATTTTGCCACCTGCCCTTTTTTCGAATGATGTCCATGAAAACTATAGTGCAAACGGGAAAGCATTTGCTGTCGTTGATCTTGCAGTCTCTTATTTTCACTCCTGAGCATCCGCAAGGCCAGCATGATAAGGAGCACCAAGATTAGCCCACCAGCTATAGGAACAGCAATTACAGCCGCCCTGAACCATAACTCTTTCGAAGAGGTCAATTCCTGCACCTTGGTGATGAGTTTTGTCATGTTGATATCTGCTTCCTTGTCCTGCAAAGGGGAAAGATGTTGATACTGAAATAAGCTTCACAACTGGTTTATACATCAGCAACTCCCTTAAACGCCACACTGACAAGTTTAAAGAGCCACAGCTATAAGCTCTGCAGTATCTACAGGAAATGCTCCTATGAAGAAAATGATGAGTTTCTAAAGGCTGCTTATAACTTGGAATTTCTTTCTCTGATAGCTGATTTAACTAGGAACATCACTGCCATTGCTTCTTAGAAGCAATTGTCCACTTGGCAAGACAGACCTCTAATATTAACGCAGGCAAAAAACGCTACTCAGCTGAGATGCTCCCCTGCATGCAGCCACCTGCTTCTCCCTCTGGCGTCTCTACTTACATTAACAACTAAATCAAGAGCAGACATACAAGGCTTTGACTGTCACCAGCCTGATGGCCAGAAGAGAGATTTCACCAAAGCTTCCTTTCCCTACCTGAAGCATCGCCCCTGGAAGGAGACAAAACATCATGTAGTCCTCTGTAATTGCACATATCTTCATGACAGCATTCCAATGTGGACACGGTGGTGGTGCCAGAGTGGTTTTGTGCTTGTTTGCCTTGGCAGGTATCAGTTGTGCTCGCAATAGAGTCCAAGCAGCCATGAGTAAGTGGAGAATGTGTATTCTGAGGATCAAGCAGCCTGGAGAAGCAGGCACTAAGCTCGGATTTGCACATATAGCCAGTTGCAACACAGTGTGCAGCATCACAGTAGCATCTGATTTCACCTGAAAAATAAAAATTGTGCAAGAAAGGTTAAGAATTTGGTACTTTAACAACACCTCACTAGATACTCTTTCTTATGAGCTGCAAGCATGGCAAAACCAAACTCCATGCCAGTTTTGGGGTACTCCTCTAGACTATAAATCCATGAGGGCAGGGGTTGTTTCCTTCCTATCACTGTACAGTGCCTACATCGCTGTAACCTTACTCCCTGCAAGTGCCTTGGGGCACTTGTTTTAATTACTAGTACTATGGTCCTTTGAATAAAAGCAAGAACATTGCACTAAAGCAGGGATTGGGGGAGGGTGCACAAGGAAGGTCACAGTGGCTTTTTTTCCAAGGTAAAAAACTAACAAGACCATTTTATAGCTACTTCCACTCACTGTCAACAGTTGCATTAAACTGCATTTAAAGTGAAATCCCAGCTTTAAAAGCAATACACACCTTTCATCCTATAAGGAAGCCCTATCTATGCTTCGAACCATTACCACAGGAACAGCAGTCTCTTTTATAAAGGAACACTTCTTTTAACTGGGCATCAGCACGGAACAAAAATACCAGGTTTAAATATTTGTTTGACAAACAAACAAACAAAAAATCGGAACCACTGAATTGTTTATTACCTCTCAATACTGTGCCAAAATTTAAAAGGTTTAACTAACACCTTATAAAGCTATTAGCTAGAACCATTACCATCTAAATCTCTCAGTCAGGAAGGTTTTTACTGTGTGAAACTGGGCAACTATTTATAATTTCTCCAGAAAGAGAGAAATTCTTGAAGTAGCCATTCATGCAAAAAGGCTTTTTTATCAGTATTATAAAACTGAAACAGTGCAGCTTATAATTAATGTTTGCCAGAGCCAATGTCTCTCAACTCAAATGTAAAGTTATTAAATGAGGTGAAACTGCGAGGCTGAAAGTTCCCCCCTGCCCCTCCCCAACTTTGCATGCAATCCAACATGCGGTCAAAAGGGGAAACACTTAGACTGAAAATCCTCTACCAGCTCTATGAAAAATCTCTCAGGAAACCTCAAAAATTTCTGAAGGAAGCGATAAAAAAGTTCCCTTCATAAAACTCTTCATTTTATGCTCTCCAAACTGCTC